GAGATGGCCACACACACCGTAGGCACTTTGCATGGCCTCCAAGGCCAAATGATATTTGTTGCAGCCATGAAAGTGTTTGGCCACATTTTTGGCAGTTACCAAACACAATTCATGTCTGTCAACCGGACAATGCTGTATCATTTTTAAATATGTAAATAGAGCCGCCGTTTTCTCTCCCATCATATCCAAGAGTCGGGCCTTACGCAAACGCAAATCATAATCGCGTGGATGGACCTTAATGGCACGCGTATAGTATATTCGTGCTCTCTGCAAATTGCCCTGTGCTATGTGCATCTCGGCAATACGTATCCATTGGTAACGATCGCTGGGATTCAAATGGACAGCAATTGTAAGAAAATTTAAAAATTTCTCCGTATCCCGTGATTCGTATATTTCCGCCAGTGTAAAGAAGGGTTCAGGGGCCAAGGGGTTTTGACGTATAATTTCCAAACAAATTTTTTCAGCCATTTGTATTTGGCCACGCGCAAAACACAAATTTGCCTCACCCATCAAACCCTGTAGGGCCACATTGAGCAGCGATCGTTTGCGTACTCCACCGGTGCTAGTGGAGCTAGTAGATCGTACTCGGCGACTGGTGCTCGGTATGTCGTCAGCGTTCATTTTGCGATCTTTTCGTGATTGTTTTTTTCGCTTTGGCACGGTCATATTGGAAAAGTTCAATGCTCCCGGTGGTAGTTCAATGTTTGGAAAACCTTGCATTATATTTGCCTTAAACTCGGCTTGCTCTTGCATTTCTCTCTCCTGCGAGCTTCTAATATCGTTGATATCACTTGTCCCCATTTCGGCATCACCATCCTCCTCCTCTTCATCTTCTTCGCCATCATCTTCATCGTCTGGCTGTTCGTGTGGATCCAGTTTGGTATAGAAATCGGGAAAATCAGCTTCACCATGAACAAATTTTTGAATTAGATTGCCCTCATCTTCGTCATCATCTGAAATAAGTTGAAGGACTTTTAATGGTTCTGTCTCCTGGAATTGGGATAGTTCTTCTTCGGGGACATCATTACTATTGATTTCTTCGATGACCACATCACAGGAAGCGGCAAGATCCATGGTTATGAGTGTTTGGAATAGGGGTTTTAATTGGGAATATTTCCGGGAGATCCTCCGTCCGCTCAGTCAATGAGATTTGTTTTATAGGAATGCCAATTTAGTTGGTTCTATTCCCTGCGAATATGGAGCGAAAAAGGAGGGCAAAGCGGTATTTTCAGTGTTTACGAATGATTGGGTAGAGACAATATGGATGACTAGACGTTTGTTTACGAATAAGACATGGTAAAAAAACAGCTGATGTCTTGAATACCAAGTCGAGTGGTGTTGTCGGCGATAGCAAGTAATTACACTGTGATACAAATCTTCAGAAACTACACACTTCTTATTGTACCATGACATATTATAGAATATTTCTGTACAAAATGAAATCTTATTATAAAATTAACTTTTCTGTCCTCAAAAGGTACAATGACTACTAATGGGTTAATTAATTAAAATAATGGGTTAAATAATTAAATTTTTTTTCTATGCCTAATCCCATATGTTGCAGGAGGAGTTTCAGAAAGAAAGGATAACAGATAAAAGTATTGCAAATTGTGACTTTTTGTGAAATAGGTACCAAGGGGTTCGCAGATATATATCATCATCACAACAGATCCTGCGTTAGCAAAAATATTTGTATGCTTGGTACAATGATATCAAGGTAGGGCTATGATACCATATGATTTCAATTTTTTATTTTCTTGGCTTAATATGTCATCTTTATTTGTTTATGTATGTGTTTTCTTTTCAATAACAAAAAAATTGTTCAGAAAATATTCAAATTCGGATGTTTTCAAAATGTTTATTTCAACGTATGCATCGGCAAAATCTAGAGTTTTTGTAGCGAAATAATCCTTTAGAGATATATAGTACATGATTTTGAAAATAAGTATGGACCTTTCATTCAGTTATCGCGGTTTACAATTATTTATTCAAAATAAATGGAACAAATTGTTTGATTTTTTATTGTTTTGATACTAATTTTGACATTACAAGCCAAACAGGTAGACCTCTATACTTGAATTTTTTTCAAAGTTGACCTACCTTCTCTTCATTTTACCATGTTTGTAACGATTTGAATGCTTATTTCGCTTTTTTGAGGGTTTTGATTTTTAAAATCTTGAACCCTATGTGGGGGAGGTACCAGAAGAAATGGCCCGATCTTTACCATCTTTTTAACAGACCTGGTGTTGATTGAAATATTGAGATGCGCCAAGCATGGTAGAAGAATATAGGTAGACGCATGGTACAACGAAGAGAAGGTAGGCCAACTTTGAAAAAATTGCAAGTATAGAGGTCTACCTGTTTGGCTTGTAATGTCAGAATTAGTATCAAAATAATAAAAAAATCAAACAACTTGTTGCATTTATTTTGAATAAATAATTGAAAACCGCGATGACTGAATGAAAGGTCAACACTTCTTTTCAAAATCGTGTACTATATATCTCTAAAGGATTATTTCGCTACAAAAACTCTAGATTTTGTCGATGAATACGTTGAAATAAACATTTTGAAAACACCCGAATTTGAATATTTTCTGAACAATTTTTTTGTTATTGAAAAGAAAACACATGATGACATATTAAGCCAAGAAAATAAAAAAATGTAAATCATATGATATCATAGCCCTACCTTGATATCATTGTACCGTGGGTAGACGCAACGACACAGCTGCTGGACAATGATCTGTCAATTTTGGAATTGAAAATGTTGAGTGAAAAAATATTTAATCTTGTAAAAATTGTTGAAAACGCTAATTATAATAACCTCACAATGACGTCGTATAAGAAAACATATATTAAAGTGTCCAAGCGTTTATGCATCTACCTGTATTCTTAATTTTGCGTTTTATGACCTTCATGGATATTCAAAATTTTGACCCTTTGTGGGGGAGGTACCAGACCTTGGGTCAATCAAAATATTGTGATGTGTGTAACTTGAAGAGAACCGGATGCTCATTTCGGATTTTATGATCGTTTTGGTCATTTAAAACTTTGGCACTTTGTGGGGGTGATGTACCACCGGACCACCGAAATGGTCCGATCTCTACCATTTTTATAAAAGATTTTGTGTCAATGGAAACATTGAGATATGCCGAGTCTGAATGGAAACGGATGTTAATTTCGTGTTTTATGAGCTTCAAGAATATTCAAAATTTCGACCCTGTATAAGGGAGGTACCAGAAGATGTGAAACGATATTGTCCATTTTCTCACCTGATCTAGCACTGATTCAAATATTGGGATTTGCAAAGTTGAAGCAAAATCTGATTATCCTTTCCCTTTTTGTTGACATTTTGTGGGGGAGATACCAGAAGGAGTGGACCGATATTGCCCATCTCCGAACGCGATCTTAGTTTGACAATAATATTGTCATGTACCAACTTTGGATCAAATCGGATACTTCCTGCGAGAGTTATCGTGCGCACCAGCCAGACAGACAGACGGACGAACGGACATCACTAGATCGACTCCAAATATCCAGTCTTAACCAAACTTAAAACGATATCGCATTTCCTCCAAATAATACCTAATTCCGTTATAAAATGTGCCTAAAGAGCCTAAAATCCGGCGGTAACGTTAAAAGGGAGAAGGAAAAGTTGACCGATATTACCCAAATATTTCATTTTCAATACACCAATCGTAGCTACTAGGTAAAACTCAAGGCCTATTCAAAATTTTTATTGGTAGAAATCCATAAAAAGCAGAAACCCTTAGAAATCTATAATAATCTAGCCAAAAAAGAATTATTTACAACTGTCAAGTTACTTCGCCTGCAAGAATTATCCAGTAAATTCCTTGTCAGAAAGTAAGGTAAATGTTTATACCCTCTACACTTCTAAATATTCGTCATAGACACCATAAATATTCATGATCAGCATAAAATTCCAAGTCGATTTACCGATGTCCTTGGATCTATCTGTTGAAATCACGATACAGCTCAGATTATTTGACGTAGAGTTGTGAAATTTGGCACCGTTGTTTGCATTGTGTCTAGGATGGTTCGTATTGAAAATGAGATATATCGGTCCACGTTTTGGGATAGCCCCCATATAACGGTACCTCCCGATATTCGGCATTTTAATAGTTTTAGCCTCCAATTTCTCTAAAAATAGTATTTGTAGTCCATTATGGGTTCTAGCTTAGGTGGCGGAACATAGTGTGCATAGGTCCACGTTTTCGTATTTTGGTGATTTTTGCCACATTTTTCCACGGATTTGTAAAAAATGGTATTTGTAGCTCGTAATGGGTTCTAGGTCCGATGGAGGAACGTTGTACATATAGGTGTACGTTTTAGTATAGTCCCCATATAAGGGTACCTCCCGATATTCGATATTTTGATGATTCTTGACACATTTTCCACGTATTTGTCTAAAATTTGGTATTTGTAGCTCGTAATGGGTTCTAGATCCGATGGAGGAACATTGGTCCACGTTTTCCTATAGCGCACATATAAAGGTTCCGTCGAATATTCAGCATTTTGACGGTTTAATCCACTTTTTCTAAAAGATTTGTGTTAAATTTGGTATTTTTACTTCATAACGGGTTCTACAGCTGGCGTCAGAACATTTTCCACAGTTACCCAGGAAATTATGTAAAATTTGGTAGTTAACAGCCTGTTCCACGATGTCGAAAGAACACGTTCGCACAACTTTTACACGACAAACAGCTGATTTCCGTTCCACTAAAATCCATCAGAACGAAAATTTGCACGAAAATCAAAGCGAACGAAAACGTAAGCGTTTCAGTGTAATTTTGCGTTCCACTATCTTTTTTCTTTCGTACGCATGCGAACACAAATGTCAAAATCAGTCACTTGTGTGTTTGCTGTCGAATGATAAAAATTAAGGAAAATTGTTTTAACATAAACATTTCTTGATTGAAAATGGAAAGAAAAATGTAAGTAAAAATAATAAATGCAATTTAATCTGTGAACAACAAATATATATTTTTTTTATTTTCTCAATTCCAGCACGAAAAAACTACACAGCTGCGGGCAATAGTTGAGTATATGGGGGAGAATCCTAAGTTCGCCAGAGGAGTGCCAATTTTTGGAAGCAGCAGGCAATCCCATGAAGACCATTGGAAGACACAAACCTAGAAAAAATCATTTTTTTATTATTTTAAAAATGTAAAAATACAATCATGCTTACTGGTTGTTAGGTACTTCAAATAAATTCGAAGCATCTCTTAAATGCCTCCGTGGCACAATTTGAACCTCCTCCTCATCATCCATAAAAAATAGGGCTACAGAAATATTCATTTTTTTCTTTTTTAAGAACACAAATAATCTGAACACAATCACTAGAAATTTTATTTTGTTTGTTTATTTACAATTTGTTTGTTTACAACTGAACTGTCAGTTGAGACAGAGCCACTGCTGCTTTTTCGCGTTTATATTAGACATTTGGCGCTTTTTTTTGCCTTATTTCGCGATTAATTTTGCCAAAAAATATTTTGCAACACTGAATCACGTAAGGCTATGCGAAAGAAAGAACGAAAGTTAGTGGAACGCATTCTTATGCGAAAGTGAGTGAGTAGCCTTCGTTCGCACAAATTTTCTTTCGAGATCGTGGAACAGGCTGTAAGTCTCGCAATAGATTACAATCGTTGTAGTATAGAATTGTCTATATAGGCTCCCGTTTTAGTATGGCCCCCTTAAACGGCTACAACTATTCTCCTACTGATCTCACTGGAGTTTGTAGTTTAAAGTGGAACACGTTTGAATCCAGATACTTTTGCCTAAAAATGTTTTCTTTACCCAATGATGGAGGATATTAGAAGTTGGGCCCGGTCGAACTTCATGTTTTTTTTACTTGTTTCTATATTCTAAGAAAACATTTACTCTATATTTATTCCGTGACTTCGATGGGTAAACAAAACAATAAATTTATTATTTTAACTTGTTTTATTTATTTTATTTTTGTATTACAACAAACCAGAGCCGCTTGTAAAACCTTTATCATTTGGATATTAGTAATAACGAACACAATATTTTGCGATTAACAATTCTCCCCACCAGACGCGTTTATCAGTCATTAGTTCAGTTCATTCATTACTGACAGCCAAGCGAGTGCACAAGTACTTGACAGTGAGTAAGTGTGCTACAGTGATAAGCAATGTATTTATCGAACAAATACGCACTGAGTCGATTTGCCGCCCGTTCAAATTTACTGAGACAGCAACGAACTTGTTAAACTTATAGTGGGTCTAACAATGATGAAATTTTTATTCATATCAACACATTTCGGTGCAAGTAAGAAATTGAATAGCATTCTAACACGATTAACTGCTTAGAACTATCGCCGTCGACATTGATACCCTCAAATACAAAAGTGTACTTTGAACTATTATAGGCTAGCTATTTCAAATGGTGTAGTGTTTTGGAATAAACATTCGAAATTGCACCTAAGTATAATCGGTGTGTTTGGTTTAATAATATGCTAAATGCCTATATCAGGCCTAGTTTCTTTTATAACGATATCTTTATCGAAAATAGTGATATGTTTGGTTCAACGTTGCCCAATGTGGGTAAATGAAAATAGTGAGACGCGTTTTAAACCGAATAACTAATACTGCGGTTTTCAGAGAGGAAAGCAACATTTTGAATTATTTAGAAAGCAAAAAAAGGCCGCTTCCGTTAAATTTGTCCAATTTGGTGAGAATCGGTTCAGATATAGCTATAGCTTCCATATATATTGTTCATCCGATTTGTTATATTAGTTCTCCACAACCGTAATATGCAATCCGCAACAACGCTGTTTGGGGAAATATATCAAATGCAGCACAGAAATACCTTTGATAAATTTTATCGAGATCGGTTCAGATTTGGATATGGCTCCCACATATATCTTCATCCGATTTGCCTTTTATTGTGCACCAAGCGTGTAATATTAGCCCAAATGGGATGAAATTTGACACTTACGACCAAATTGAGCTTAAAAATATGAATGTCAAATTTGGTGAAAATTGATTCAGATATAGCTCCCGTATAAATAAATTTCATCCGATTTGTTATATTTGTTCTCCACAGCCGTAATATGCACCCTGTAACAATGATATTCGGGAAATATATAATATACAGCTCAGACATATCTTGGCTAAATTTAAACGAGATCGGTTCAGATTTGGATGTGGCTCCCATACATATCTTTATTCGATTTCAAGTTAATTGTACACCAAATGTGTAATACAAACCCGAATTGAAAAGGCACAAATGGAGAGAAGGATATTCTTCTCATATCTTAGTTCCTTTGGACTTTAAATTATGACTATAATTACAGTTGGTATGATATAATTCTCAAAAATAACCCATAAAAACTTTTATTTGTTATGTGAAGCTCTACTAAATAGGCAAAGCGGTGTAGGGTATCAAAAAGTCAGCCTTGTCCGACTTTAAGACTTTCTTTACTGTTTTTTTCTTTGGTCAAAATTAGTCTGGCCAATAATTTCTGTAATGATGCAAAATAAAGTTTGGTGACTACATTTATATACTACATTTTAAGGTCAACCCGGAAATTAACCTTCGTTAGGAAAGGGTTTTTGAGGTATATGCAGCGGAATTGACAAAACCGAAACCGATTGGGTTTTCTAAATTCTTTATAACGTAAACGAACTATTAGCTTGGTTATTTTGAGATATTCAGTAGGTATAACTGAATATGGAATGTAAGAGTTACATCCCATTTATTTCTATTAAATATTATTATTTACAAAATTTTTTTCCTCCACGGGATTCCCATATCATGGGAACCGGTTTCATACGTTGTATATCACTATAAGAATGTTCTGTTTACTCCACTTCACGAACGCCCCACACTATCTCACAAGCTACTTATTCTCTGAAGAAAAAAAAAAAAAAACAAATTACTCTTTTGTTGTGCTCACAATAAAAAAATTGAGAGACTCGATGTTGTGTGTTTGCGTGCTGGGGGGGTTCCGAGAACAAAAACTAGCTGTCTTGCGCCACAAACAAATAACAACGATCACTTTGACTTTGAATTTCGGTAGAGAATGGTTTACATGTTGTGCATTGAAGGAAGAAGAATAATTGTAAATTAGAAGTGAATTAACACATAAATAAAAAGAAAACGAATTAGAATCAAATTCAACATTTGATATTTTCCGGAAAAGTGCTATCTAGACCGGAGTAAAAGATGGTGGAAAAATTAATAAATACCGATCGAAAGATCAATTCTCCTGACAAAAAAGTTCAAAACGGTAAGTGGAGAAGGATTCAATGAAAGGAAAAGTACAATAAAAATGGAAGTAGAATGAATATAGATGAACATTTATATACACCAAGTGTCTACAAAGTACTGTGTGTGTGTTTGAATACCATAAAGCCAATTGTTAATCTAACTTCAAACTATTGTGTTATTGATATAAAACGTAAAATCCAAGTCTTTAGTTATAAAACTGTTAATCATCAAGACCATGGTTAAATGTTACATTTTCCTTACTAAAAACACATATGCATTCTGATTCAGCTTTTCTGATATTAAAGCAGAAAATTACGTTCTTATGTTTTATATCTCCATCTGTTTTAACTTAACAAAATGGGGGTACCCAGACTCAATGAGACGACATAGATGTTTACATTTTTTGTTAAGAATAAACATATATTTTAAAATTGTGAGAAATATTTTTTCTTCCAAGTTGATATCGGAAAAAAATAGAACGCGATCAATATACGAAATATCCTGTAAACTATATTACATATATTCTACTAAAAATTTGCAACGAATACCGAAAGAATTAAAATACACTGTTCAGCAAACGCGTGTTGACTAACCTGAAACATAATTTTCCAAAAAGTAGTTATTTAGTTACTTATTATACCCTCAATCATATGACTAGAAAGGGTATATATCATTTGATACAGCCAAAACGTGCCTCATCGAAGTGGCTGTTTTAGACCCTAGGTCTCTTTGGACCAAATCCGTTTAAGGACATTTGGAGTCGTTCTAGCGATGTTCGTCTGTCTGCCTGGCACAATAACTCCCGAAGGGAATATCCGATTTGGTCCAAATTTGGTACATCGTAATATTATTTTTAAACTTAGATCGAGTTCGGAGATGGGCATTATCGGTCCGCTCCTTCTGGTACCTAACCCACAAAAGGACGACATTTTCAAAGAAAATATTTTACTGCACAGGGAACTGAAGGATAATCTAATTTCGCTCCAACTTTTCAAATCCTATTATTTGCATCTGGTGCGAAAATGGACAACATCGGTCCACTCCATCAAGTACCTCCCCCACAAAAATGTTGAATAATTATAACTCTCATAAAATGTGATGTAAGGGCTCTATTGTCTTCAAATTACAAACAGCACAATATTTTTATTTACCCAAGGTCTGGGGTAAAGATGGAATATATCGGTTCACTCCTTCTGGTACCTCATCCACAAAGGGATTAAAGTTTGAATATCAATGTAGCTCATTAAACGCGAAATTAACATCCGATTCCATTCAGACTTGGAACAACTCAATATTTCTATTTACACAATGTCTGTTATAAAGAAGGTAGAGATCGAACCATTCCTTCTGGTACCTGCCCCACAAAGGGTCAAAGTTTTGAATAACCAAAACGTTTATAAAATCTGAATTAAGCATCTGGTTCTCTTCCCATTCCCATTATTACTACTTACACAAGATCTGCTGTGAAAATTTAAAATATCGGCGCGTCCCTTTTGGTACTTCACCCACAAAGTGTTCAAAATTTTGAAAAACAAAACGCGAAGTAAACATCCAACTCTCTTCAAATTTTACACATCCAAACATTTTTGCTTACGCAAAATCTGTTGTGCAAATGATAGATATATATCTACCAACCCCTTCTGGTACCTCAACCACAAAGAGTCACAATCTCCAATACTTATATCTGTCATAACTTGCAGAACAAGTGGGCGATTCTATGCAACTTGTTATTCGTGTAAAATTGGATATAAATGTTCGATTTCCTTTAAATTTTACACACACCAATATTTTTATCTGCATGAGATGGAGTGTAATATTTCGGCCGCTATATCTGGCCCCTCAGGCATTTCCACATTTTCCAAAAAACTACACATATCTCATATAAAGTAGAGGAAGTAGATGATATAGTCCAAATATGGAACGTCGTAATATTTATGTCAGATTTAGGTCAGATACGAATTGGACAATATTGGCCAACCTCCCCCATTAAAGGGTCAACAGTTAAAATAATCATAATTTAAGGCTGGGGATATACATCTGTCGGTAGAACAGACTGATACTATTTAACTTGTTATGAAATTTTCTTGTCCGTCAACAATAACACTAAAACTTTATTGTTTTGTTTTTGTATTTTATCAAACCATAAGACCACACTGGTTACACAATTTCAAATTCTTCCAATTTTTTATGATCTGTTTAAATTACCTTCTTTAAATAGCAACGGACACATTTCTAAACTATCAATCAAAAATGAACATTTGCTCGCCGGTTAATCCGATTTTATTGTTAGCGATAGTTTATCAGTTAATTTTGTAAAAAATGATTACTAGGCAATAAATTGTGAAACAACTGAACATTGAAATGCAAATAAAATTTGCGAATCGATTACGAATTACGTATTCTTTTATATTACAAAAATTTGTAGAATTGAAAATTAAATAAAAGCAAGTAAAATAGTATTAGTCGGTTTTGCCGACAGGGTCAAGCTGTTGACCCCTTATGGGGGATGATCCGAAGCAGTTGGACAATATTGCCCAATTCGTGTCTGACCTAAGACTGATAAAAATATTACAGAGTGCCAGATTTGAACTATATCGACTACTTCCTATACTTTATATTAGATATGTGTTAATTTTTAGAAAATCTTAAAATATGCGTGAGGTATCAGATATAGTCGGTTGAAGTATTCCATTTCATTGGTATGATCAAAATTTGAAGGAAATCGAACATTTATATCCGATTTTACGCGTAACCATATATTCCAGATTTCTGGTTTAGAGAAATATATTTAGATATAGCAAATTGTGCAGAATCACCGACTTGTTTCGCAAGTTATGACAGATATAAGTAAAGGAAATTGTGACCCTATTATTTATCGTCTTCACAACAGATCTGACATTAGCAAAGATATTTGGATGTATGAAATTTTAAGAGAGTTTGATGCTTATTTCGCTTTTTTTAGCGTTTTGTTTTTCAAAAAACTTGAACCCTATGTGGTGGGGGTACCAGAAGAAAAGGTCCGATCTGTACCATCTTTATAACAGATCTTGTGTTGATGGAAACATTGAGATGTTCCATATCTGAATAAAATCGGATGTTAATTTCGTGTTTTATGAGCATCATGGATAATCAAAATTTTAACCATTTGTGTGGGAGGTACCAGAAGAAGTGGACCGATATATCACATCTTCACATCAGATCTTGTGTTAGTATAAGTAATGGAATGAGCGAATTGTGAAGATTTAATAATCGTTATCGTTATTCAAAACTTCGACCCTTTGTGGGGAAGGTACCAAAAGGAATGGTCCGATCTCTACCATCTCTATAACCAATCGTGTGTTTATTGTAATATTGAGATGTGCCAAGTCTGAATGAAATCGGATGTTAATTTCGTGTTTTATGCACTTTATCGATATTCAAAATGTTGACCCTTTGTGCGGGAGGTACAGAAGGAGTGGACCGGCATATCCCATTATCACAGTAGGTCATGTGTAAGTAGATATAATGGAATGTGTGAAATTTGAAGAGAATTGGATGCTTATTTCGGATTTTATAATCGTTTTTGTTATTACAAACTTCGACCCTTTATGGGGGAGGCACCAGAAGGAATGGTCCGATCTCTACCATCTTTATAACAGATCTTGTGTTGAAGGAAATGTTGAGATGTACCAGGTCTGAATTGAATCGGATGTTATTTTTGTGTTTTATTAGCTTCATGACTATTCAAAATTTTTAACCTTTGTGGGGTTGGACCGCTATATTCTATTTTTACACCAGACTTTGAGTTAATAAAAATGTTATGATGTGTGTAATTTAAAGACAATCGAACACTTACATCACATTTTATAAGAGTTATAAGTATTCAAAACTTTGAACCTTTGTGGGGGAGGTAGTTGAGGGAGTGGATCGATATTGTCGGTTTTCGCACCTGACCTAGCACTAATGAAAATATTGGGATTCGCCAAGTTGGAGAAAAATCGGATTATCCTCTCACTTTCTGTGCAGTAAATTATTTTCTTTGAAAATGTTGACATTTTGTATAGGAGGTACCAGAAGTAGTGGACCGATATTCCCCATCTCCGAACTCGATCTAAGTTTGAAAATAATATTACGATGTACCAAGTTTGGATCAAATCGGATACTCCCTTCGAGAGTTATCGAGCGCACCAGCCAGCCAGAAACGTCCAGGACGGACGAACATGTCCTGAAAACCGTTATTTCGATGAGGTACGTTTTGGGTGTATCAAATATCTCTAGCCATATGGCTGAGGATATAAAAATTTGGTTCTACTTGAAATCGATAACATGTCCCAATTCTAATGTTGTTTCATAAGTTTCTTTTAACAAATTAACAAATTACATGTGCCAAGATGAGTCGCCCTCCCTTTAATAGCTCTCCTTTATTTTTTCCATACAGAAAATAATGACTTAACAAGTCAAAATATGGAATTACACTTTGTACGCCATAAGTTGGAGGCATTTCAGGCAAACATGTTGCGTGACGTTCAGAAACGTATGTCCGGTATGATAGACGAGGTCATGCAAGAACTACGTCAACAAGAACTGCAAGCCCATGAATTTCGTAATTTTGCCAAAACACAAAATCAACAGCAGTCAAACACCTGGAGTAATCGTGTACATTCAACAACAACAACGACGTCAGAGGAACCCTTAGAAAAAACAACTGTGGATGGAAATTCATTTCATGGTGACGAGGAAGAAGATGAACAACAAAATGCAACCGATAAAACTGCTACGCAATCACTCGAAAGAAGAACTTCGAATGTTTCATCAGATAGTGATCACAGTAAAAGCAATGAATCGACACATTCAAGAAAGAAGCGGCGTCTTCGAACACTTCCCGATAAAGTCTTCCGCAGTAGGGAGTCCTACCTGACAGCTCTTCTGGAAGTGGATCATATGAAGACAATATATCATATATTTTATATCATATTTATAGTGTTTTTGCTGAATAATGTCACCTACGATTACTTCGTTAATGGCAGGTGAGTAAAAGATATTAGCTTAAAGCTGAAACAAAGTTCTATTTATCAATATTTTCCTGTCTATTTTTTTGTAGTGTAAATTTCGGCCTGGGAACATTTAAAGCAAGTTTTGCTAAAATCCAGTATGTTCTAGGAATATGGCTTGTGCAAAATACTTTTGTATGTAGCATATATTATGCACTTAGTGGCTGGTCCTTTGTCAGATCCAAACTTGCCAAACGAGGTATTTTTTTTTTTTTAAACGAATATTCAAATATATATTTCATAATTCAAAATAATTGATTTCTTTTCAGAAACATTACAAAGTCTATGGTCCACATCCTGCCTTCTTTTATACATTACCTCCCAACTGATATTTACCTATTTGCCAACCAAAATTTGCTTAGTATTGGATCTGCCATATGTAACGGCATGTGTCCTGCTGCTGGAGAGCGTTCGCATGCTAATGAAAATGCACGGATTCGTAAGGACAATTAGTGCTCGGCTACTGCAAGGCAAATTGAAATCTGATAATGACACAGCAGAATCCAAAGGCTGTCTTATGCCACCTTTCCAAAAATATTTCTATTATTTATTTGCGCCTACTTTGCTGTACCGCGACAACTATCCCCGTACAGCAGTTATATGTTGGAAATTTGCCCTTGGTCGTTTCCTTGAGGTCGTGGCCATTGCATTCCTCTACAGCTATATTTACGAACGTCACATCAAAGTTATTTTTGGCAATTTTGGTATAGAGGAGATAACAATTGGATCGATTATCATCAAGCTGTTTGGTATGCTAATGCCATGCATTATTATCTACCTATGTGGTTTCTATTTAATACTGCATTCATGGTTAAACTTTACGGCCGAATTGTTGCGTTTCGGTGATCGCATGTTTTATCGCGATTGGTGGACAGCCAGTAATTATGAGGCATATTATCGCAATTGGAATGTTGTAGTTCACGACTGGCTATATGAATACATCTACAAAGATTTCTATTTGTATATCTTTAAAGGTTCCAAATTTGCATCCTCCCTGACGGTGTTCACCATATCGGCCCTATTTCATGAGTATGTGCTGGGATATGCGTTGCAAGTTTTCTTTCCAGTCATGTTTGTATTTTTTGGCATCATTGGTGTATTAATGATTTTCCTTACCCGCATCGCCCCAAAGAATCTTGGAAATATAATGCTTTGGTTTTCTCTGATCTATGGCAACTGCATGATGATCTCATTATATAGCATGGAGTATTTTACCCGAGTTAATTGTCCCAAAGATTCATATGATAGCTGGTCTGATATTCTAATACCACATTTGTGGAGTTGTTACATGAAGTGAAAGGAGTACGATGGAGAAAAGTGGGGGGAGCATATTGATTGAGATTTCTTCTGATTATTTTTCGGAATTGTGATACTGCAAACATAAAATATATATTGAAATAAATATGAATGTTCTGCTTAGTTATTAAGTTAAGTAACTATATCTTAGGAAAAATATATAATTTGAATAAATGTTTAAAAAAAAGTGATTTTCGTTAGTTATTCATACAGCAGTGGTCTACAGGGGGAGATGAAAAAACTGCAACCGACTTCAGACTGCTGTCATTTCTAAACCACTCGTCCGACAACTGTTAAAATTATTCCACTGGCAGCTCATCATATTGTTTACAAGCGTTTACAAGAATTTTCCAAAAAAAAAGTTATGGAATTAAAGCGTGATAGTGTAATTTCTTTATGTTTGCATGGAAAACCACAAGTGGCTATCGTTAGAGCACTCCAGCATATAAATGTGAATAAATCTTTTGTGTCTCGTACCATCCCTCGTTACCGTGATACTGGTAGCGTAGCCACACGTCAAGTAAGTGGACGAAAGAAAACAGCAACATCAGCAGAAATGGTTTGAAAAGTAAAGAAGCGACTGTATCGAAACCCGCGTCGCAGTGGCCGAAAAATGGCTCGTGAGCTAAACATATCGCAATATTTCATTTCGCAAATAGTGAAAAATGAGCTGGGGTAAAGCTATTGAAATTCCAAAAAAATCAAAAGAGCTAAAGAATTTCTTCGCTTGGCCGAATTTGGTTTTCTCCGATGAGAAAACATTCGTTGTTCAGCAGCTTGCAAACAAACAAAATGATCATGTTTACTTGCCAAAGAGGTCAACGGAAAATGTGCACCTTCGGTTGGCCACCAGAACTCAAGCGCCGGCTATAACAGCAAATGGTCGCTCTCCACTCGTATTAATCGACCGTGGCATCAGAATAAATGCCGAATATTATCGCTAAAATATTCTGGAGGGTATATTAATGCTTTGGGCACGCAAAACATTTGGTCGTAGACCTTGGACATTCCAACAGAACACAGCACGCGCCATCCAAGAATGGTTACAAAATGAGATCCCTCGCTTTATTTCCAGCGCACAATGGATATCTGGAGTATTTTGGAAAGCAAGGTTGGCACTAAAAAATACCAAAGTGTCGACCACCTCAAGCAAGCGCTTCGCCGGGGATGGGCCAAAATACCGCATTCGGGCAACGTGTGACGGTTTCATTGGCCGTTTGAAGGCCATAATTCGTGCCAAAGGTGACCAATTCGAAGAAATCTAAACTTATTCTAATATTTGAAGCTATTTCCGACATTTTTTGCTTTCATTCAATAAAATTAAAAAAACAAGTTAAAAAGCAGTAAGTTTGGCCGGGCCGAACTTTTAATACCCTCCACCATTTGCAACGAATTTGGAAAATTTTAAAAAATAAAATCCTTAAAAAATTCTTTTAAAGTTTTAAAAATACCGAATATAGCCGTTATATTGGGGTCTATACGACGTGGACATACATAGCCATTGTTTGTCATAAGCCATTACCATATTCAAATTCGAAACTTGAAATAAACAGCGAATAATGTAGCTAAAATCATCAAAATATCGTATATAAGGAGGTGCCGTTATATCGGAGCTGTGCGAAGACCTGGGCCAGCATAGACAATTTTTTGTAACAGGCTGTAGCATCCATTACGAACTTCAAATACCACATCTCAAACAATTTCGGTGGGTATTGTACCTAAAATCGTCAAAATACCGAATATAGGGAGGTACTGTTATATGGGGCCTATACGAAGACCTGGACCCGCACAGACAATTTTCAGTCACAGACTGTAGTTCCCATAACGAACTTCAAATACCAATTTTGAAACAATTCCGGTGAATAATGATGCTAAAATCATCAAAATACCGAATATAGGGAGGTACCGTTATATGGGGGCTATATGAAGACGTAGACCTGCACAGAAAATTTTCTGTCTTAGGGTGTAGTATCCATTTTGAACTTCAAATACCAAATTTGAAACAATTCCCGTGAATAATGTCGTTAAAATCATCAAAATACCGAATATCGGGAGGTACCGTTATATGGGGGCTATACGAAGACGTGGACCTGCACAGACAATTTTCCGTCTTATGGTGTAGTATCCATTTTGAACTTCAAATGCCAAATTTGAAACAATTCCCGTGAATAATGTCGCTGAAATCATCAAAATACCCAATATAGGGAGGTACCGTTATATGGGGGCTATATGAAAACATGGACCTACATAGCCCATTTACGAACTTAACCTGCCTACTGGAAAAATAAACATGTGTGCAAAATTTTAGCCATCTATCTCAATTCATTCGAAAGATAGCGTGATTACAACAGACGGACAGACAGACAGACAGACAGACAGACAGACGGACATCGCTAAATCGACTTAGAATATATATACTTTGTTGGGTCTGATATGAGTATTTCGAGGAGTTACAAACGGAATGACAAAGTTAATATACCCTCCATAGTATGGTGGAGGGTATAAAAATGTAAACATTATGCCATTTGACTTTGTTGCAGTTTTTTTATCTCACCCTGTAGTTATTCTTCAAATCAAATCGCATTAGCTGCAAATATTATTTCATTATCTGTGGATTGCATTGCAAGTTGTTTTTAAAACAATAATATTATCTGCCGTCCTAGGTTGCATTATCCAGCTATAATTCGCAGGCATGTGGCGCTGTGTGTGTATGTTGTAGTTCTTGCATTTGCCGACTATTTCACTTTACGTCGTACGCATTAAAAACGTAATTTCAAATTTATTCCAACATTTCTTTTATAAATATTTCAATAATTCATTTAAAACATTAAAAAAATAATATGAATTTACATTACCAATAATCATTGTCATAATACATAAACTTTACAGCGATTGCGATTGAAACGACCTCAATAACAAAAACCTGTAATTATTAGATGACTGTCTTTTAACTTTAAATTATTGTGCAATACAAGACTGATTATATTGCATTTAAAATTAAAGCTTATTATTATGATAATGAATGTAAATAATATACATAAACATTTGTAATATGCTTAAACCACTTTCGTAGTTTTACACTTTAGTGTTATATTTAAAAATAAAATAAAAAATAATATTGCTTCAAGCAATTTTTGTTAACTATATAAATCAAAGATTTAAAAACTATTAATTCTATGAATTCATAAATGCAAATTATTGTGACAAAAATTGAAACACCTAACACGTTAAATAATTCGCATTAAAGCTATCCTTTAAATACTCTTATTTTTAAAGAACACAGGAGAGATTCTATGCCATACTTAAAAAATAGGAATGACTTAGTGAAAAATTCCTTCTCAAGTAATACACTTTAGAAAAATTGCTTAACCTTTAAGCATATAAATACAGATATTCCTATAGCTATTGTTGTATACTTAAAATAGTATTTGATTTTAGAACGTTTACGTTCGGCCAGGTATTCATCGTAGTCAATGTAAAGAGGATTCTTAGGTGGGCTAAAACCAGCTAGCTGCATTATTTGGAATACAGAAACTAAACTATTATTTGTAAACAGTTAATTTATTGAAAAGCTCACTTACATATTTTGTTGTTTTCTTTAGTTCTTTGATAGTTCCTTTGTAGCTTTTTAAGGTTCTTTGTAATAATATGAGATTCTCCGAGGTTACCGGTCCCAAAAGCTTGTTTTGCAGGTGGCTCTTGACAAATTTTAAAGTGGAATTGATTATCACCAAGTGTTGCAAATGATTGGCAGTAATCATTAGAATTTCGTAAAAGCTTTGAAAAGCAAAAAAAATTAAATTATTTTTTGTTCCTTTTGACTAAAGCTTTGATCTTACTTTTCATGGGAAGATTTGCTAACGCGAGCAATTGATTTCTTGGACCAGTGATGCAAGTGGAAACTAAATCACAAAACAAAATATTTAATGTAACAAAAACGCAATTAAGTTCCCAATAATGACTTACTCCAAAAGGCCTTTCATAATTTTCATCCGATATATGGGAAATTCTATGCCCAACTCTTTTAGACGTTCATCTTGCATGCACAAAAACTCCGACAAAGGTACACGTTCCTTAGCAAAATATTCCAAATAGTTTTCCATGCCAATAGACAACAAAATTGTGTTGATTTCTTGAAAATATTCCGGACATTCGGATTTCAAAAAAATACGCGGTATGTAGTCTCGCAGCGTATTATAACCCAAAAATTGTGAAGGTATTACATATGCCTCCTTTTCCTTGGGTAATATTTCCAGCAGATCATAGAAACCATGAAACTGGGCAACCTGTATCGGTGTATAGCCTTTTTTATTGGCAATGGTGGAGTTAACACCAGCATCCACGAGAATCTTAACAATGTCAGCCCGATTATTTTCAATGGCATGGAAAATTGGTGTACAGCCCTGATTGTCCACAGCATCGAAACTAACCTCCTGTATGAGCATTTGTACGATTTTCGTATGACCGTTTTTGCAGGCCAGCATGAAGGGTGTAGTTCCATATTTATCAGCCACATTTATAATGGCACCATGTAACAACAATATTCTGGCAATTTTTTCAATCACCAGCGAGTCTTTGCAATTGGAATCGCAACAATTCATTAGAGGTGTTAAGGAATCAATTTGCTTGTTGACATCAGCACGTTTATCTTCAATTAAATATTCAACAATATCTAAAAATCCCTCCTTGCAGGCATGCAGTAGCATTGTGAAACCATCTGAAAAGGGAAATGTATTGATTTCTAATGTAAGAAATGCATGCTATTCCCTGTTTACTTACATCTCACAGGCTCATCTACATCGAAACTGGTCAGTTCCACTTGTTGCTTGAGTTCTTGCAAATCTCCTTTCATTAAGGCTTCATATAGCTCCTCATCGCTATTTGTTTGCCAGTTGGTGACCGGTTTGGTTTTCTGTATAATCTGCAAGTAAAATACAATTGTCCTTGAAACCGCATCTACACATTTATATCCCTTTGGTATACTCACATCATCGCCAAAAGCAAACCCATCATAATCATCATCAGAATCGGAGTCTGGTGGTCGATATACCACATTATTTCGAGACATTTTGTTGGAAACTACTCTGCTCCCGTTATATTGTTGAAACTATGGTCAGGAATTATGAAAATAATTTGTTTTTTTTTTTTCTAATTCCAAGTCCTGCTTATGGAGACGAGAAAGTCTGACAGCGCAACAATGAAGAGAGCATTGGAAACAAAACTGAAAAACGTCCCAACGAAACGAATATGAAGGCCACAAAGGAATACCCGGTAAAAAATAAACGAAAGCAAAGACTCGGGGTACTCTGTTTGTTTACGAATGAGACATGAGAAAATTGAACATCTTTACTAAAATTCGCGGAACTAGTTGCTACTATCGTTTGCCGAACTCGACTATGGACTTGGGGACACCGAGGACACTGCATATTGCCCACGGAGAGTAAAAATAAAAATATAATATTACATATTTTGGAAATCACACAAAAAATACAAATAAAACGCAGTTTTTTTAATAAATTTATTTAATCAATAAACTGCGTTTTATTTGTTTTATTTATTGTTTTAAAGGCTGCTGCTGTTTACTGTGGTATTACGATAACCGATTTGCCCTTTGTTATCGAAGAACATCAGGGTTACCAAGTCTAGAATATGAATGTATATCTCATTCAAGGTAAACAACAGAGTACCCGAGCGTTATGCATTACACTCATTCGTCTCATTCGTAAACAACAGAGTACCCCGAGTCTTTGCTTTCGTTTATTTTTTATCGGGTATTCCTTTGTGGCCTTCATATTCGTTTCGTTGGGACGTTTTTCAGTTTTGTTTCCAATGCTCTCATAATTCGCTCTTCACGCTGTTGTTCGCGGTAAACAGCAGCAGCCTTTAAATAAAAACAATAAATAAAACAAAAAAATAAAACGCAGTTTTTTAATAAATTGATTTAAAGGACTAGCCAACATGTTGCGTCAACTAATTGTAAGTATATTGTTTACAACTGCAATTAATTGCATGTTTTATATTGGACAAACTGAACATTGCATAACCTTGTATTTCACCAGACAACTGTGGGTCGTCGCACACTGACTCCCCTCCTAGCGCGCACACAACGTTTTTCAGCCGGCGCTGCTGGTGGGGATGGTAAAGACGGCAAGCAAGATGTTGTTAATCATGCCGATGTTCCCATCATTGACTACGAGGATCCCGATTACCTACCCCTACCAGAATATCCATTTAGACCGGATGAACCATTGGATGTTAAGAAACAAAGGTGTGTTCGATACAATTATTTTTTTAAATGCAACTAAAACAAACAATCATTATCTTCTAGATTGGTATACCAGTCACGTAAGCGCGGCATGTTGGAAAATGATTTACTTTTGAGTACATTTGTGGCTAAGCACCTTAAGGACTTAAATGCCGAGCTCACCGAACAATATGATCGTCTCATTAATGGTGTCACCAACGACTGGGATATTTACTATTGGGCCACAGAGAACAAACCAACTCCACCTGAGTATCAGAACGAAATAATGAATATGTTAAAGGAACATGTGGCAAATGCCCAGCGGGAGAAACGTTTGAGGCAACCAAATTTGTAATGCAGTGAAATTTGTCTCCTGTTATTTTTATAGATCAACAATGAAATATGTTTTTTTTCAACACGTGTGTCATTGGTCATTTGTAGCACAGGTGACAATTTGTACTTATGATTAGTAGTTTGTGATGTTAGATTATAATTGTTTGAATAACCTATAAAAGTGTTAATTTAATCTGAACTGTGTTTGAAAGTACCGCAGCAAATTTTAGGGGGGATCTCTGGTGTGAAATGGAAAAATACTTGGCTGAATAATGATCGAGAACGACTTTTCAAACAATTTGTTATGCTGGTTTTTGTTTTACTTTGCACTACTATTTACTCAACTTGTCCGGAACCGAAGATGCCTTGAGTTTTTAATTTAAATTTCTTCAGTTTTCAAATATTTGAATTTGAATTATTTTAAAATTGTCTGCCCACGCGTTTATATCCAAAGTGCTAAAGTGAAAATAATACAAATATGGATTGTAAGCCAACAGAAGAATTGTGTCAGTCTGTCTCCAGATGAAATTTTCATTTACATCAAAAGGTATTTATTTATTAGTACTTTTTTATAACAAATATAAATAGATTTAAAAATAGGTACATTAAAAAAATTTACATGCATTGTAGGACGAACGAATTTTAAAATATACATCTCAACACCTTTCAAAAACTCGATAGAGAGCCGGCAAATTGGCCAGCTCATAAACATGTTTCCTCAGGCGACCTGGCGGAAGCAAATATTTCTTAAATGCCGAATAAATTACGTGCTCAGTTACCCAATGATGTTGCTTTGGCATTTCTTGAAGTTCAACCTCAGAGACCTTCGCATAATAACGTGCCGTTTCTCGACAAAATGTTTCGAAACATTCCTCCTCCACTTCCCATTCAACTTCCGTGGCCAATCTTAACATGTAGATAGGTAAAAATACTTTACTCGGCATATGCTGAGTAATCAAGCAAGGTATGGTTTCTAATTCGCCGTTGCTATTGATATTCATTGAAAAATATTCACGCATTATCGGTGACTTTTCGATCAGTATTTCTGAGGCTCTTTGGGCTAATTCTTCTTTGTCACCATCTTCTTCGGTCCAACCACTTTCTGGTGTATCTAAAGCTAATTTGATCAAATCTTTTACTGGCAACGGTTCTGGTTTAATACTGATAATTTGGTGATTTTCAAACTCGTACAGCAGACGTTGATAAAATAGTTCTTCACTACAAACCACAAAATAAAATATTAATTTTACATGAACCCATTTTGCCTACAAGCTAAATCTTACCTTAGCTTAATTGTATCTCCCATATAAAGCCTGGTCTCATGTTGAAACAGGGCAAACTGCTTGTCAACAACACCAACAAAAACCAACTCCTTGATCATTTTTCGCATTTCAACCGAACAACTGTCCTCTATTTTCTTTTGCATATTTAAGATGCTTGTAAGTTTGACTTCTTTGGTTTTTCTCTTGGCAACCTCGCGAAAACTCTCCTCAGCCGCTGTAGACGTTGAACTGGCCCCACTCAAAGTCATCGAACAACCAGAATCATTTAGTTTAACACCTTCGACATGTAAAAATTTGTACATACTCTGTTCTTTGCTATCAGTTCTGATCATATTTTGAGGATTTATTCTTTCACCATTAACACTTTTCAAAGTGCTATCATGTTCTTTGCCTTCACCTGGGGGTTCAGAGGCCCCGGGCATTTTTAATTGTTTATAAAATGTTCGAGTTTCATTACTGCCCAGCAGTTGGGCTTCCAGAGTTTGTTTGATTTTTTCCACAATTTCATCTTCGTAGAGAAAATGAACTTCATGCTTTGTGGGATGGACATTGACATCAATATTGGATGGATTTATTTCCAGGCTTATGTAGGCGAACGGGTGCATTCCTCGGGGCAAATACGTACTGTATACATTATCAAGGGCGGTTTTCAAAGCTGCATGAAACAATATTTTATATGTTTTCAAATTAAAGAACTGCATTAACTTACATGACACTTCTACCAGCCGATGATTGATAAAGAACAACGTAATCGCCTTCTTCGAGCTGTAATTTACTTTTGTAATGTATCCTTTCATTTGGAATTTATGTACGTCATCTTTCAACTCAACCGGCAACAACTCCTTGGCTATGGAAGCTCCATATAATATCTCAATATTTGTCTGTTGGTTACTGTTTGGTGGTGTTTTTATCGACGGCTGTTCGCCATAACGTTTCAACGTGAAGCCCACCTTTGAATTATGTATGGCATACTTGGACATAACATTGGATATTCTTTGAAACTCTTCATTGGGTGACTTGAGGGCCTGCTTTCTTTGTGGCATGTTGTAAAACAGGTCTTCAATGGTTATTATGGTACCCTGATTTCCAGCACAAGGTTTTGGTGGAGCTTTTAGCTTACCCTCTTCATAAGATGCCCTTAAACACAATAGGATAATAGATTTAGACAACTGTTCCCAAGGCAAAATGACCCAACTTACTTGTATGCACATTTTTCTTTGGCGGTCTTGGTCTGTATGGTTAAATGGGCCACATGACTCATGCTAGCTAATGCCTCTCCACGAAAACCAAATGTGGCTATGTTAGTAAGATCCTCAAAGCTCGTTAGTTTTGAGGTAGTGAATCTTTCGCAAACTATGGCCATGTCCTCTTTTCTTATGCCCGTACCATTGTCTTGAATTTGCAAGAGTTTTAGTCCTCCGGATTTTACGGTGACTTGTATAACAGTTGATTTGGCATCCAGACTGTTTTCCAACAATTCCTTTAAAGCATTTGCAGGCCTTTGTATAATTTCACCGGCAGCTATGCGATTCACTACAACTTCATCTAGTTTTTTGATGACTCCTGGTTCTGCCATGTTTTCTTTTTTTTAATCCAGGCGAGATACTTATCGTAATATGATGACGACTTCCTGAATTAGAATCCTTAATCCAATATGCCCTATGCATCCAATATGCCCAATGTTCTTTTTTGCTTTGCGAAAATGTTAAATATGCAATAAATATCAGCACCAATTAATTAAAATTATAATCATTTATTATAAATAAAATTAATAAAGAAAAACAAAACACTACAAACCAAACAAATCGTGAACAACCCGCGCTTTCGAGAATGGAATAAAGTGTATCAACCGCCGGTATGGCATCTCTTAAAGAAAAATGAAATTGGGGGCAAATGGAAATAAAAATGAAGAATCAAAACAAAAAGGCCGACTGACGAAACGAAGATGGAAAACAAACTGCGCTAAGGGGTTTGTAGGGCACAAAACAAATGGTTCCAGGGTTGCAAAGTTGCGCGCTGTATCACCAAAATAAAAAACGTTCCAAACGCAATAAAACAATAATAATAATAATGCTCGCTAAAGATAAAAATAAATGGGGGCTTTGTTTACGAAGGAGTGTAATGGACAACGCGGAGAAACCCGCTAAGGTTTAGGTAGAGCTGACAGCGTTCAAACAACGAAGCTGAACGATTTCGTCGGCAGCGTTTCAACCAAACGGTGGCGATAATGTTGTCAATGTTTGACTTCTTATGTGACAATTTTGTGTTTAAAACAATTTTTTTTTGTTTCAATTTTTACATTTTTTCGAATAAGTTAAGATTTGTTCGAATTGGCCACATTTGGCACGAATTATTGCCTTCAAACGGCCAATGAAACCGTCACACGCTGCTCTACGGTATTTTGGCCCATTCCCGGCGAAGTGCTTGCTTGAGGTGATCGAGTCTTTGGTATTTTTTAGTGCCAACCTTGCTTTCCAAAATACTCTAGACATAATAGTCCAACGGATTGGTATCCGGAGATTTTGGTGGCCATTGGGCGTTGGAAATGAACCGAGGAACCTTATTTCGTAACCATTCTTGGATGGCGCGTGCTGAGTTCTGTTGGAATGTCCAAGGTCTGCGGCTAAAATGTTTGCGTACCCAAGAATATTTCGCGATAATATTCGGCATTTATTCTGATGTCACGGTCGATCAATACGAGCGCAGAGCGACCATCGGCTGTTATGGCGGCCCACCCCATCACCATTTCCGGAGCTTGAGTTCTGGTGGCCAACCGAAGGTGCGCATTTTTAGCTGACTTCTTTGGCAAGTAAACACGATAATTTTGATTGTTTACAAACTGCTGGACAAGGAATCTTTTCTTATCGGAGAAAACCAAATTCGGCAGTTCTCCACTTTCGTCCAAGCGAAACAACTCTTTAGCTCTTTTGAATCTATTTTCTTTGTGTTGCGGTGTAAGTTCTTGCACTTTTTGGAATTTCGATGGCTTTACCCCGAGCTCATTTTTCAATATTTGCCGAATGGAATATTGCGATATGATCAGCTCACTGCGACGCGGGTTTCGATCAAGTCGCATTTTTTACTTTTCGAACAATTTCTGCTGATGTTGCTGTTTTCTTCCGTCCACTTCCTTGATGTCGGGCTACGATACCAGTATCACTGTAACGAGCGATGGTACGAGACACAAAAAATGTATTCACATTTAAATGGTTTTCCAGCCAAATATAAAGAAATCACACTATCACGCTTGAACTCCATAACGAATAACTTTTTTTCTGGAAAATTCTCACCAAAATGCTTTTGTACGCTTGTAAATAATATAATGAGCTGTCACTGGAATAATTTTATCAGCTATCGGACCAGTGGCTTACTAATGACAGTAGTCTGAAGGTGGTTGCAGTTTTTTCATCTCACCCTATAACTTTAGTAACATGTTTTATTAAAAAATGTTCCGCTAAAATAAATTAAAAATTAAAATAGTGTGACATAAAGGACGTACTAATAATGTACACCTATACAATACATCAAAACGTAAATGTAAACATGGCCTAATAGTTGTGCAAACTCTGTGTAAATCACCCTTAATTCATAAGGCAATGGTTGGCAACTCATCATTTGCCATTTCCCTTTCCGCTATATTCGTAAACAATAACTGACAATGACACAAAAATTGCATTAATCAACTCTCCCTCGTCTTTGATAACCCATTGAATGTAAACAATGTATTGTGAAAGGTCGGAAATGATCAAAAACTAATAAAAGTATTGTTTCAGTTATTTAATAAAATAAATAATAAACAATTGTCAATTGTTTATTTTTGTGCAATAAACAATAATACGAAGATTTTTATTTAACAGTTTCCTTTGTGTTTATTATTGGCGGCTTTTGTTTGTGAGAACCTTCATAAATGGTGAGAGGGAGAGAAAGAGAGCGAGAGAGAAAAAAGAAACATTTGTAGTTGGCAGGGATGGAAAGCAAAAATTGTGTGTGGTACATTTTTCAATAAAATGGCATCTTATAACTGTGCAAAAACGAAAAACCAAATTTGCAGTATAAAATACATATATATACACATTGTTATAAATAAATTTGATACTTAATTATATTTATAGGAATTTACAGAAACTAAAAAGGCGATATAAACCTAACCTACTCTTAAAATACTTCTGATATGATTAAAACATTTTTGAATTTTGCTTCAAAGTATTCTTTATTTTGCTGCTGCTAGGACAATTATGAAGATCGACAATATCGACCGTATAATGCTGGCTGAAGGTTGTCACATGGCATTTTCAGTCCAATTGGCACTAAATAGGTTAGAGGAGGTAGTCAGCGTAGGTATTCCTTTTAGTTCAGAATCTATATAGCCGTTTTTGTAAAGATTTTGACAAAAATTTTTGCCGGTAATTCTGGGGGTTTTATCAATAAAGGCTGACTTAAATAAAACATCATTCGATGTCTACATAAGAACAAACAGCCACTTGTCCGAAAGCTATTAAAATTATTCCAGTGACAGCTCATTATATTGTTTAAAAGGGTACAAAAGCATTTTGGTGAGAATTTTCGAGAAAAAAAAAATAATCGTGATGGAATTTAAGGGTGCAAGTACATAAAAGACTTGAAGTCAGGGCTAGGCATATTAATGTCAAGTTATAATGGATAACGACGGATTTTAGCGCGGCTCTGTACTCCCCTTATGAAATGTTACAAACTATGCCTAGCCATGACTTCAAGCTTCTTATGTACTTGCAGCTTAAGCGTAATAGTGTGATTTTTTGGCTGGAAAACAACAAGTGGCTATCGTTAGAGCACTCCAGCATTTAAATGTGAATAAATCTTTTGCGTCTCGTACCATCGCTCGTTACCGTGATACTGGTAGCGTAGCCCGACGTCAAGGAAGTGGACGGAAGAAAACAGCAACATCAGCAGAAATGGTTCGAAAAGTAATTAAGAAGCGACTTGATCGAAACCCGCGTCGCAGTGGCCGAAAAATGGCTCGTGAGCTGAACACATCGCAATATTTGTTTCAGCAAATATTGAAAAATTAGATCGTGGTAAAGCCTTCGAAATTCCAAAAAGTGCAAGAACTTATACCGCAACAGAAAGAAAATAGACTCAAAAGAGCTAAAGAGTTGCTTCGCTTGGCCGAAAGTGGTGAACTGCCGAACTTGGTTTTCTCCAATAAGAAAATATTCGTTGTCCAGCGGTTTGTAAATAACCAAAATGATCGTGTTTACTTGCCAAAGAGGCAGCTGAAAATGTGCACCTTCGGTTGGCCACCAGAACTCAAGCGCCGGCTATGGTGTAGTGCGGGCCGCCATAACAGCCGATTGTCGCTCTCCGCTCGTATTAATCGAACGTGGCATTAAAATAAATGCCGAATATTATCGCGAAAATATTCTGGAGGGTTGGGCACGCAAACATTTTGGTCGCAGACCTTGAACATTCCAACAGGACTCAGCACCATCGCACTCAGCACGCGCCACCCAAGAATGGTTACAAAATGAGGTTCCTCGCTTCATCTCCAGCGCACAATGGTCAACAAAATCTCTGGATACCAATCCGTTGGACTATTGTGTCTGGAGTATTTTGGAAAGTAAGGTTGGCAATAAAAAATACCAAAGTGTTGATCACCTCAAGAAAGCGCTTCGCCGGGAATGTGCCAAAATACCGCAGAGCAACATTCGGACAGCGTGTGACGGTTTCATTAACCGTTTGAAGGCCATAATTCGTGCTAAAAGTGACCAATTCGAACAAATTTGATGCCATTTCCGTCATTTTTTGCTTTCGTTCAATAAAATTTAAAAAAAAAATAAAGACAATGGCGTTGGACTTTGTTGCAGTTTTTTATCTCACCCTGTACATCTTTCGACAAAATCGGCTGATACTGTTTTTACTTGTTGTGTAAGGAATTTGGAAAAAATATATTTGTTTTGAAGCTCTTCTTTCATGAAGCGTTCATTTTCCTTTTCATTTTCTGGATTGTCTCATTTTTGGCGGTTAAATTGTTTTGCTTGCAAGTTTTTGCAGGGATTTTGTTTGTTTACTTTCTCTCTCTCCCTCTCTCTCTTTTTGAGAAAGAAATTGATTGACAATTCTAACAGGAAAAGTAACCAAACAGATCATGTGCTACCATTAACCAATTTTTGAAATGGTACTAAATTCATGTCGCATTGTACAATTGTATTCCCATTTCCATCCCTGGCTGTTGGTAACACATAAGAGAACAACAGTTTTGTCTGTGTTTCTTTCATTCTGTCTGTCTGTCTGCCTGCCTGCCTGCCTGCCTTGACAAACAACATGCTTGAGGTGATTCCATCCATGTTCTCTGCACATAGAATTTCAGTCGCATCGTGACTTTTGAGAGTGATGGATGGCAACGCGCACGGTTTCGTTACGTCCGTTTCTTTTTCTGAGTAGTGTCAGCGTATCTGTGTGTGTGTGTGAGTCTATGTGATGATAATTTGAAGAAGAGGAGGAAAGAATAAAACCTCACCCCATGCGAAAATCTTAAATTTCATTTCGAATCAAAAGTTATGCGAAAGTGAAGTGTTAAAGAAATAGTTTAATATTTTAAATAAAAAAATAATAATAAATTGTGCAAAATCACCAAGAAGAAGCGACGGCAACTTAACGTGCTGGAGGAAATCATCTCTCTCGCGAGTTGTCTTCGCCGTTGTTGTTATTATTTAGGCTTTTGTACGGTATGGCTGAAATAAACCACCTCTGAAGTGGAGTTTTTTTACAGAGGAGAGCTGGTATCCTGCAGCGGCAGCATTGTAAAAGGGAAGCCACAATAACGAGTTGTTGTTTAGAATAGCCCCATAAAGAAAACCAGTGATAAAAAGCAGAAAAAAGTGAATTCATAAATTATCATTTTACTAAATCGTGAAAAAGAAAAAATGTGAGCAGAAAGGTCACAGAGAAATATTAAAAAAATCTGATATTAAAAAATAAATCAAGCAAAGTTTAAATTCGAAAAAAAGAAAAAAATAATTATTACAACAAGAAATAGTTGCCGAAACCAATCCACCAACCGATTGTGAGTGTAGTTTGCCGCCGTCGTCGCATGTTAACAGTTGTGTTGACGTCGTTGGGTGCGTTAACGTCAAAAATGCCGGTTTTTCGGGCATCGTCGCAGATGCCGGCGCAGTCGCCGCGTAATGTTGCCATCACGTTTTCTATGTCAAGTGTTGTAAATTTGAAAATGTTTGTTTACCTTGTGTTAATTCTAACCAATTGCCTGTCTGGTGGGGCCAGCATTGGTTTTGCCTCGGCCACCAGTCTCAGTGCTCCAAAGAGTTCGGTAATTGGAGATATAACGGAAACACATGGCAAAATAATTGATAGCAAAGTGTATGAGGACAATGCAGAGCATTCGGCCCACCAGGCCGTTGTCGACAGCAGTTCAGCCGCCACCGGTACTACCCAGTCATCCCAGCCTGTGGTGGTTGCTACAGCTACTGCCAAGGATTTATTGAATCCCTCACCGCCACCAAAACTGTCCGTAGTAGATGGTGGCTCGCTGGCGTCACCGTCAGCGGCCTTAGGACCAACTGGAAGTGCCAGTTCTCGTTTCAATGTGGATTTACGTGATTCGAAGAGTATTGTTGGCTCAACAGGCGCCATCCAATCGCCCACCACCTTTATTGGCGAACATCGCCTGCATCAATTGAAACAATTTGGATTGCGTAAAAAACCGCAATCACTGACAGCCGCGTCATCGTTATCATCGACCAAATCGGCATTTGATGAAAAAAGTAAGTTTTCAATTTGCAATACAGCGTTGGCGAGATTCATTCTCGCGGTGTCAATGTCCGAATTGGAACTCCAGAAAATGTGTGATGTGAAAATATTAGTGTTTTAAATAAAATCCGATTTAAAATTTATTTTGAAATGAATGATTTAATAAATGCTCAAAATTTTCCGCCTTTTGGAAAAAATGCATCTCATATTGAATTTGACTATTTTATAGATGAGTTTGTTACATCGGTTAATGTTATTGTAAAAATTCGCACAAGTGAGATAAAAAGCAGTAACTCAAAACTTGTAGCTTCGAATCATTTGAAGAATTTTCTTAGAAAAAAAATATATTCTTTGTTCCAGAACCTGCAAGAATCTCAAGAATCAATTATCGTAGTAACATTTTTATATTCTTGAAAGTTCTGGAAACAAGAAAAAAATTGGGTATTCTAAAGAGGGAAAAAATAATAAAGCTGAACTAGAGTTTCAGCAGGGCTTTAATTAAATTTTTTCAGTATCCATTTTTTGGTTCTATCATTTGAAAATTGCTCGAATTTTATTGGCAACACATCGGTGGGAAAAAATACGAATTGGGGAAGGGTCACTCTTGGTCCGAAGGGTCAGATAAGGCTGAGTTTATGGAAATTCGTACTAGAACGGTACGAAAAATATTAAGACAATAAATGCGGTACCCTTTGTATTTGAGGAAACAGTAGAGCTAGAACTCTCAAATTTGAGTTAGGGCCACTGATGGAGTGTATAATAGATGCACCAAAGGGGTTTGGAAATTTGCACTATAAAGGTGTGAAAAGTACTGAAATTTGGTACCACGATACGAAAATGCGAACGGTTAGTGCAACAAAACTTGAAATTTGGAACAGAAATAAAGGTTGAGGAGCAAAGTCGATGTCAGGAGGTAGTTTTGGAAGTGTGTACTTATGAATACGAAAAGTACTAAACGGTACTAAATTTAGTACAATTTGAATTTGAAAGAACGGATGGAGCTCGAATGCTGAAATTTGCTGGCGGAACGTAGGATTGGAATATGGAGGAAGTTTACGAAATTTGTACTTATGTGCACGAAAAGTACTAAATGGTAATAAAATTGGTACAATTTCGATTTGGATGAGCCGATACTGCTGGAATTTTGAAACATAGTGCTTGAATGTAAAATGTAAAAAATGAAAGGGGAAAGAACAACCTCATTCTTTGGATGTAGTATCGATTGTGTATCCGGCTCGAAACCAAGCCAAGCTCATGAGCCCATGTTGAAGGCGAGAAAATATCATAAACTTTTTTTTCGATTGTCGATTCGATTCTCTATCCGGCTCGAAGGACCAAATGTAGAAGGTGAGAAGAAAATACAATCGTGTGGTTCGATTGTCGGTTCGGTTCTATATCCGGCTCGAAGAACCAATTGTAAAAAATGAGAAGGGAAAGAACAGCCTCATTCTTTAGATGTAGTTTCGATTGTGTATCCGGAATAGGAATAAAGGTTGAGGAGTAAAGTCGATATCAGAAGGTAGTTTTGGAAGTGTATACTCATGAATACGAAAAGTACTAAACGGTTGAAGCCAAGCTCATGACCTCATGTTGAAGGCGAGAAAGGAACACAACCTTTTTTCTATTGTTGATTGGATTCTCTATCCGGCTCGAAGGGCCAAATATAGAATGTCAGAAGAAAACACAACCGTATGGTTCGACTGTCGAGTCAATTTTCTATTCGGCTCGAAGGACCAATTGTAAAAAAAAGTGAGAAGGGAAAGGACAGCCTCATTCTTTATATGTAGTTTCGATTCTGTATCCGGCTCGAAGCCAAGTCAGGCTCATGAGCCGATGTTGAAGGCGAGAAAGGAACACAACCTTTTTCTTTCGATTGTTGATTCGATTCTCTATCCGGCTCGAAGGACCAAATGTAGAAGGTCAGAAGGAAACACAATCGTGTGGTTCGATTGTCGAATCTCTATCCAGCTCGAAGGACCAAATGTAAAAAATGAGCGGGGAAAGAACAACTTTATACTTTGGATGTACTTTCGATTCTGTATTCAGCTCGAAGCCAAGCCAAGCTAATGACACCATGTTGTTATTTTCCACTGTTGATTCGATTATCTATCCGGCTCGAAGGACCAAATGCAGAACATGAGAAGGAAACACAGCCGTATGGTTCGACTTTTGATTCGATTTTCTATCCGGGTCGAAGGACCAATTGCAAAAAATGAGAAGGGAAAGAATAAACTTATTCTTTCGGCTTGAAGCCAAGCCAAGCTCATGACCCCATGTGGAAGGCAGAAAAGGAACACGACCTTTTATTCGATTGTTGATTCGATTCTCTATCCGGCTCGAAGGACCAAATGTAGAAGGTGACAAGAAAACACAATTGTATGGTTCGACTGTCGATTTGATTTTCCGTCCGGCCCGAAAGACCAAATGTAGAAGGTGAGAAGAAAACACAATTGTATGGTTTGACAGTCGATTCGATTCTCTATCCGGCTCGAGGGACCAATTGTAAAAAATGAGAAGGGTAAGAATAAACTTATTCTTTGGCTGTAGTTTCGATTCTGTATCCGGACCGAAGGACCACTGTTTAAAGGGATGAGAAGGGAATCCAACCTCGCTCTTCGGTTGTCAATTCCATTCTTGTTTTTATTTCAAAATATTTTCCTTAAGTACTATAAAAACTAATTTAACTTAACCTAATCCCAGCCTCACAATTATTCTTATCTATTCTAATATTGAGTGGAGAATATTAAAGGGCTGCCTGTCTTTTCAGTCAAGAGTTCTTGCATACTCACTGAGCGCATCAATATCTGTGTGTGTGGCTCTTAAACTTGAATACCTTATGCGGCAGCGCACAAGATCATTGAATTGTACTGATGTTGTATTTTATGGCAGCTGAATAATTGATAATTTCGGAATATTTATTTTTAATTGATTTTCCCAGCGCCTTACTCGTACTCAAGAGTATGCACAAAGTATTTTGTACACCCTAAAAATAGAAATATTGGTACACTCTTCATTAAATTTATCATCTGTGGCTATATTTATATTTCAAAACCAAAAAAAAAAAAAAAAAAAAAAGAATCAAACGCATACCAAAATGCAAACATATTTTTTATAAATATATTTGTTGGAGAAAATGCTCCAATTATTTCGAGGCATCCGATGATCATAAACATTCGGAACAAAAAATAACAAAACAAACTGTCATCCTGATAATGTTTCGGGAATTGCTGTGAAAATGACATTCCTATTTTTACTGTTATCTATCTATGGACGATGGAGGATACAAAAATGACACTAAAAATTATTCTTTTTTTTTTGTATTATTATTACGCTATTCGGTTGATTGCACCGTTTCACAGTTTGTCGGTTGTTTGTTTTTCTTTTTTCGTGTTATTCCGCAGTCCCTATTTTTTTATTTTTGAAATACATAAATATTTATTGTGGTGAATTTCAGTGCGAATTCCAATACAAAACAAGAAAAATATTTTAAATTTTATGGCCAACAAATAAACAAATTTAAATGGGTATTGCATTTAGACTTCAGTTGCGATGTGCGAAAAAAAGCAATTCGGCCACAAAGCGATGAGTACAAGAAGCAAAAAAAAAAAGGCGTTAGGATGGGCCGGGTCGAACCTTTGATACCCTTCACCATGAGGAAATGAAAGCATTGATAAATATGTCCCATTGCCGCCGATTTAATTATGTTTGGCGCCCAATGCCTTTTTTGATTGCTATCAATCCTGAACACCAATTTAGATATAAAACCTTAAAACACCTAATAACTGGTGGTGCCGTATTATGACGATAATGGACCTGTATCGTACTATTTATAAGTATAAGAGTTGAGTCGGTTCTGAAGATAGCTTATAACTGTTCCGGACAGATGATAAACCAGTTTTCCTGAGGATATATATTTTTTTCACTAGGAAAAGCAAAAGGGGGTACATCTATAAACCAGTCTTCCTGAACAACACAATCAATATTTCCAATAAGGTTAAATATCTTGGTGTTATTTTAGATAGGAAACTTAATTGAAAGACCACGTCCAAAATAAAACAAACGGAGCTCATAGATGCTGAGCAACGTGCATAGGCTCAAAATGGGGTTTCAATCCAAAGACGACATACTGGCTATTCAAAAGCGTAATTAGACTTAGACATTAGACAGCAATGGAAAAAATGTAATATCAAAATAGTGCAGAAAGTCATTCGTTGGACTGCTGCTTAAGAATTTGCGGTGCAATGAGGACAACGCCAACTAGGGATTTAGAGACAATTCTACAGGGTGAGATAAAAAAACCGCAATAAAGTCAAACGCTATAATTTTTAAATTTTTTTTAAATTTTATTTTTTAGCAAAAAACGTCGGAAATAGCATCAAATTTAAAATAAGCTTAGATTTGTTCGAATTGGTCACCTTTGGCACGAATTGTGGCCTTCAAATGGCCAATGAAACTGCCACACGCTGCCCGAATGTTGCTCTGCGGTATTTTGGCCCATTCCCGGCGAAGAGCTTGCTTGAGGTGATCGACACTTTGGTATTTTTTAATGCCAACCTTGCTTTCCAAAATACTCCAGACACAATAGTCCAACGGATTTTTTGTGAATTTTGTAACTATTCTTGGGTGGCGCGTGCTGTGTGCGATCCTGTTGGAATGTCCAAGGTCTGCGGCCAAAATGTTTGCGTGCCCAAGGCTTTAATACACCATCCAGAATATTTTCGCGATAATATTCGGAATTTATTCTGATGCCACGGTCGATTAATACAAGCGAAGAGCGACCGTCGGCTGTTATGGCGGCCCACACCATCATCATGACCGGCGCTTGAGTTCTGGCCAACCGAAGGTGCACATTTTCAGCTGACCTCTTTGGCAAGTCAACATGATAATTTTGTTTGTTTACAAACTGCTGGACAACGAATGTTTTCTCATCGGCGAAAACCAAATTCGGCAGTTCAACACTTTCGGCTAAGCGAAACAAGTCTTTAGCTCTTTTGAGTCTATTTTCTTTCTATTG